GTTATTATTGTTATTGTTATTATTAATATAGAAAAATTATCAAAATACTCATGAGAGTTACATTATTTACCATTTTACATATTTGCAACTATTCCAACCCATAACCATGTATGCTTTCATGGGTGTATTGATAAATTTTCCTTTATTATTGCTATTATTATCATTATTTAATGTAGTAGTAGAAAGCCAGCATAAACTTTCTCATATCTTTTTATGAATCCTGATGCTACGGTGCTCTCTATGAGCGACGTGGCATCTGGGTGCAGCGAAATGATGATATAGTATAAGAAGTAATCATAATATTGAAAAGAGGAAAGCATTTCAAGAGAATCCTCAAAAACTTTAACATGTAAATCTCATCAAGATGCATCTAATAAAAAAATCAAAAAATAATTAATATAAAATAAATTGATCAAAATACTCTTGAAAAGTTTCAGGGGTATTTTAGTTAATTTATTTAAGACAAATTATTTTTTGATATTTTTATTAGATTTTAATATTTTTGAAGAATAGATCTACAAATTTCAAGTGATTTGGATTTGTAGAAAAAAATTTAAACTCAATTACAAAATAAAATTATGATCATTGGATCAATCCAATTTCATTCTCGACCGTTGAGCTTACATCATTCTATCAGCTCATGGGCTGACAGAAGTTTTTCTCTATACATGTGTGTGTATGTGAAAATACTGAGATTAGCCCACTAGCTCATATGAACATGTGAGCCCAACGGCCCAGATTGAATCTGGCAATCTGGGCCGACGTGAAATCACGACCTTATTTCGTGTGTTGAATTTTTTTTTTTTTTTTACAAATTGAAATAACTTGAAATTTTAGACGTCCATTCTTCTCATCAAGGTGCGTCTAATTAAAATATTTAAAAAATAATTCAGAAAAAATAATTTTCGAGGGTATTTTGATCAATTTATTTCTTGTAAATTACTTTTTTGATATTTTTACTAGATTATCCTAATTTTGAAGAACACACACCTAAATTTTGAAGCTATTTGAATTCATAGGAAAAAATTAA